ACAGGACGTAACATTTTATTCGAATCACGCGCGAAATCTATCGAATCCGGGTAAAATTTAATCGAGAATATTACAAACGGACTCGTTGGCCGGTTAAATAAAAAAATTTCGTATCGAGAACGATGATATCATTTCCCGCGTATTAATCGAGCAAACAGAATCGCTCGCGCAAAAAATATCTATTTAAAGTAACATCGTTGAATCATTTTCAGAGGGAAAAAAAAAACATATTTTCCCGTACTACGATACGCACGAAGACACACGAGGAATCGTACGGTAGCTTGCATATTACGGACCTTTGAATCCGCTTAGCGTATCAAGAATGAATAATTCATCGCGACTCGATACGTAGGATGTATTTCAGTAATTGCATCAGGTGTTAGATGAAAGGAAACTTCAGCAAGGTCGTCCGACACCTTACACTAGTTTACTTTTATCTTGGTCTTTTTTTCTCAGACTCGTTACCGCGTGGTTTCGGCAATTATCGTAATTAGTTGCATTAACAAGTAACGTTCCGGGAACAGGCGCTCGAAGAATTCAAGCATCAGGAAACGATCGATACCATCTTTCAGTCGACGATTCTATTTTCCTTGCTGGAAGAACACCGTATCGCGATTCCGTTTATTTTTAGACGCGAACGTATATCTTTGTCGTAACAGTTAATTAACGCGATCGCGTTCTCACCAATTGCATCGACGAAATCGAAACGAAGGACCTACTTTCGTCGGACCGTAATTTTCGCTGTAAGCTTCCCAGTTTGACGAACGGTCACGCGAACGAACTTTTCACTTTAAAAATCGGTCGAGTTACATCGGTTTTGACGGCGCGGCGCATCCAGGATTGTGAAACGTACGTATACCGATACACACGCCATAAAATATCGCGAATATGTCGTAATACCGAGTGGAATCGGCGACTGGTGTCTAAGAAGAATACAAAAATATCGTCGATACGACAGTCACGAGCGCATAATTCATTCGCGTCAAACTTTTGCGCGACTTTAACCACCGAAACTTTTACGCGACTCGATTTTAGATGTGTTACGTCCGATATTAAAAATTTTCAAACTTTGATTCCATCCTCTGTCCTCAAAAATTGCGGAATTCTCAAATTACGGCAGCAGGAATTTTACATACGAATTCGTAATCAGAGATGGAAACGAAAATTTCGAATCGATCGGGCACGACTCATTGTCATTTTTTCATCCGGCTAAAGATAAAACAGGACGTAACATTTTATTCGAATCACGCGCGAAATCTATCGAATCCGGGTAAAATTTAATCGAGAATATTACAAACGGACTCGTTGGCCGGTTAAATAAAAAAATTTCGTATCGAGAACGATGATATCATTTCCCGCGTATTAATCGAGCAAACAGAATCGCTCGCGCAAAAAATATCTATTTAAAGTAACATCGTTGAATCATTTTCAGAGGGAAAAAAAAAACATATTTTCCCGTACTACGATACGCACGAAGACACACGAGGAATCGTACGGTAGCTTGCATATTACGGACCTTTGAATCCGCTTAGCGTATCAAGAATGAATAATTCATCGCGACTCGATACGTAGGATGTATTTCAGTAATTGCATCAGGTGTTAGATGAAAGGAAACTTCAGCAAGGTCGTCCGACACCTTACACTAGTTTACTTTTATCTTGGTCTTTTTTTCTCAGACTCGTTACCGCGTGGTTTCGGCAATTATCGTAATTAGTTGCATTAACAAGTAACGTTCCGGGAACAGGCGCTCGAAGAATTCAAGCATCAGGAAACGATCGATACCATCTTTCAGTCGACGATTCTATTTTCCTTGCTGGAAGAACACCGTATCGCGATTCCGTTTATTTTTAGACGCGAACGTATATCTTTGTCGTAACAGTTAATTAACGCGATCGCGTTCTCACCAATTGCATCGACGAAATCGAAACGAAGGACCTACTTTCGTCGGACCGTAATTTTCGCTGTAAGCTTCCCAGTTTGACGAACGGTCACGCGAACGAACTTTTCACTTTAAAAATCGGTCGAGTTACATCGGTTTTGACGGCGCGGCGCATCGACCGCTCGTTTCGTCGGCAACGACGATAATTGCCGGCGAAACGGGCCCATGTAAAGTTCAGAATACAAGAATATACGACAGAGTACCTGTCGAATCGCATTATCGGTCACGGGAGTAACGCTGTCGCGATGTCGATGTGACCCAACCATCTGTTCACCTATCGGATGACGCTGTCCGTGTACATCAGCGTGTTAACTCGCGAAATGGTATCTCGAAAAGCTAGTTGTTATTTTTGCAAACGGACCGGAACGAAGCTCCAAATCGTCCGCTCCGAACCGTGTAACAGCCCGATGAGCGGGACTTTCGTAAACTTGTATATTAGACATAATGAGATCGCGTACCAGGATGTCTATATTTGCAACTACAAGTTTTGGAGTGTTCGTTGAAATAAACTGACGCGTGTGATCGTTCGATATACGATGATGGGCAGATCGAATGCAGAAGAGTCCATGGACACCGAAAATAGCTAAAAGGAAGGGCAAGACGAACGAATGCATAGAGGGACCGTGATCGAAGAGGACAACGAAACGGAAGGGCAGACGTGGTCAGAGTGACGTATTTCTTGGTCGATAATAAAAACAGTGAATCGTACGGGTAATTAACGAGAAAGAGGAGAAAGCGAGTACTAAAGTGGCGGTCGGTTTTCCACTGGGAAACCCTTCGAGACGTTCAATTAGGCAGCGCGCCAAACTAAAGCCGACCCAACAATGTTGCGCGGGTCAAATGTCGAGTGCCAAGCGACAAACCGAGATTTCCTTGCCATAAATTCCCCTCGTAGCCTAACGATCAGATACGCCATCGGTAATTAAAGGAAACGACGATTAAAAGGTATTACGCGAACGCTCGATAAAATCTGACGATACTACCCGGTTACTTTCTCGAGCTCATCGAAACTGTCTCCGCTTAATTACCCTTTGAATCACCCGCAATATATATGTGTGTGTGTAAGGGATTATTCGCGTGTGTGCATCGATCACGATTTCCCGACTCCATTAAGCTAAACTCGACTTTGTGCGTTCATAGTTATCGTATCTAATTAGGCGATTAAGTAATGGCATACTCCAGAATTCATGAAATTTAATCAGCAGTTAAATTCCTGACCTAGATAATGTTTGCAAACACGACGATAACCGTGATACCAGATTCTAGGAAGAACTACGCGATTCATTTCACGATGCTATCTAATAAATGAGAATTCGCCTTTCTACCACTTGTATCGTACGTTTTGTAACTGATATAATACGGTGCCGTGGAAGGGAGCTTCGTAAGAAGCGATTGTAAATCGTTTAACGTTCGCGTGACCATTCATGGGTCTTCTTGGAACCAGGAATTAGTTTTCTTCCGTTCATTTCTTTCCATCGGCTTTTTGCGCCATCAAGATTTTTGTCATTTCTTATGTACTTTATGACTGGTTGTGCTTTATCCGTGTTTTTTCAGATACCAGTAATGAGTTGGCAGATATAAACGCTATCGAATAAATGATAGCGTAGCGAAACGTACTTCAGAATTTTAGACACTTGACATGGGAGGAAAGAGAGGAGCGTTACTTAACAAAATAGCGAAGTAAAATCCTATACACATATATTTTCTTCAAGGTTTAACGATCATTCAAGAATGCTAGATAAAAATAATTATAGGAATATTACTATCAAAGGATTTCAGTTTAAAAATATTTTAAAAATACTTTTAAGCGCGATATTTTGCCTGAGTAATATATTTGAGCATGGCAAAGTAAAATTGTTCGAGGAAACACGTTAACAACAAATGTAAAGTTAAATATGAATCATAGTTTCATATTGTTCCTACCAAGACAAAACATTTAACACTATGTACTTGTAGCTCGTGTTTAGAGTGTATGTAGATAATTTCCTCTAAATGTTATTCTTTTTTCCGCTTGTTTTGGTGGAACTAGTAGGACTTAGAGCCCGTATAGATTTATCGCGTTTAAAGGTTTAAAAGGAAAGAGGTATCCGATGGCGCCAACGTCCGTCCTATTTTAAATGGAACGAGGAAACTGTTGTACACGGACTGAGATATTGAATGGGGAACAAGTACGCGCCCCCCTTGCCTTCCCCGACCACTGGAAGGTCATTGCACACTCGTAAACAAACAGGACGCGCCGTCTGTAGTACGCTTGGCCGCGTCACTGAACGTACACACCGATCTAATACCGCGGCTCAAGGTCGTCCCGTCATAATAGCCCGTCGCATATCGGTAATCGATTTAAACGGAGTTTGGCCGAAAAATCCATTGTTAAAACTACATTATGCCTCGCCATTAACCGCGAATTCGAGCCACGCGATAACGTCCCGATGGGGCAACGTTAAATTAACGATGTTTGTAAATAATCTTGACCGTTTCGTGAAATTCACGCGCCACCGAGCAGATAATTTGGTCTATTACGCGTGAGTGAACTCGGTGGACAACGAAGAGACATTTACTAGCGTGTGTTGACCGTTAGAAATTCAAATATGGCGGTCGAGGTTACGAGCGCCTTTTCACGTTCGAAATTCACGGCCGGTGCTTGAACTTCTTCGTTAGCGCGGTTTTATCTTCGAACGAACCAATGTTTTCCCGTGAATTATCGTTTACGTTATACTCGATCGCACGCGGAGAATCGTGCGTACGCTTATCGACGCTTAACGATATATCGATAATCTCGTTAAGAATAATGGAACCGTTCCAAGTAGAATGCAACGTGTAATTTCATTACGTATCGAGCGTAGTTCGATACGTAATCCTGTAATTCGAATCTATCTATTCGCATTGAAACTTCGAACCTAATCTAATCTAATCTGCCTTCGGAGCTGAATATTGAAATTGAAGTAATAAATCTGTGTACGAAGGTAGGGCAGGTTCGGTTACGGGTTTTAACGATATCCTAATGGCATTATCAATATCGGCGTAGAGGACTCTTGTTTGGGTACAAAGTAAATGCACTTACCTGTTGCCAATGATCCTCGAGCGACGGCTGGGCCGAAAAATATCCGGTGTCGTGTATGTCTTGCAACTCCCTAAATATGTTCCCACTCGGCAGGATATCCATGGTTACGGCGGTTTGGATCCGTTCGTAACTGGCTTACGGCACAAGGAAATAAAACGACTTGGAACCAAACGAAATCAACCAACAAGAACAAAACAACAAAACAACGCGGCTGGGTCGGTGGTGTACGAAGGACTTAGATGGAAACGGAGCGCGGTCACTAACTGCACGCCGATGCCGATACGCGACTCGACGCGACTCTAACGCACGCACGTACACGCAGCAGCAGGTAGTGGCACGCACACGTGCTTATCATCGAAGAAACACCGACGGTTACGACGTCACCGTAGTAGGATGACCGACAGGGACCGATACGGAGCGAGAAGAGAGGTTCACGGGCGACTCTGGTCGACGAGAACTAGAGAGGGACCGGCTGTGCTCCGACCGCTTCCTTTTTCCGCGCGCGCACAAACACCACGAACCGTTGTTTCGAGCCGTGAGACCGATATGTCTCGTTGCACTACCGGCGTTTACTGTTGTTGTTATTGTTGTCGTCGTCGTCGCCACTGGCTGTAGTACGATCGTTGTCCTACGGACAGCGAAACTCTCACTGCAACGCCGTTGCTTGCGCGTATCGACGCTCTGTCTGTTCTTGATAGCGTCGCGTACACGAGACACGCGCGACAGCATCCATCATACGTGGAACGTGACAGCCGGGAAAGCTTGTAACCGCGAAAGAAAGACGAAACGTCAAAGCGCCGGCACGAGCGACCCGGTATCTGTTCGATTCATTCGGCTTTTCGCTTTTCTCTCCCTCTCTTCAAGTTCGGCCGTTACGTTGCTCCGATTTTCGGCTCTCGCCGTGGCTCCTCTCGTACGAGACAGCCTCGGTATCACCGTCGTCGAATCTTCCTCACTTCTCGCGTTCGTTCGCTACGAGAACTCGTGTATAAACACACTTTGGCCGAGGAACACACGCGGCTCTGCCGTCACCTACCGGCTTTTTTTCCCGCGACACTTTACGGACGCCGTGACGTTACGTCACAGTTACGAATCGCGCCGGTTCACCACGATCGAGTTGGATACGCGTCGCTGGGGATGAATGGCGAAGAAACACCGACGAGATATTAAACACTCCGCAAGGAGCGACGTTATCCCCGACCGCTAATGCGTACAGACTCTTCCGCGCGAGCGCCGAAGAGTGACTGACGTTCCCTTGCCATAACTGTGCGCGACGAGGCCCGAACTCGACCGAACGGTACCGAGCGCGCGTTCGGTTTGGATCCGTTCGTAACTGGCTTACGGCACAAGGAAATAAAACGACTTGGAACCAAACGAAATCAACCAACAAGAACAAAACAACAAAACAACGCGGCTGGGTCGGTGGTGTACGAAGGACTTAGATGGAAACGGAGCGCGGTCACTAACTGCACGCCGATGCCGATACGCGACTCGACGCGACTCTAACGCACGCACGTACACGCAGCAGCAGGTAGTGGCACGCACACGTGCTTATCATCGAAGAAACACCGACGGTTACGACGTCACCGTAGTAGGATGACCGACAGGGACCGATACGGAGCGAGAAGAGAGGTTCACGGGCGACTCTGGTCGACGAGAACTAGAGAGGGACCGGCTGTGCTCCGACCGCTTCCTTTTTCCGCGCGCGCACAAACACCACGAACCGTTGTTTCGAGCCGTGAGACCGATATGTCTCGTTGCACTACCGGCGTTTACTGTTGTTGTTATTGTTGTCGTCGTCGTCGCCACTGGCTGTAGTACGATCGTTGTCCTACGGACAGCGAAACTCTCACTGCAACGCCGTTGCTTGCGCGTATCGACGCTCTGTCTGTTCTTGATAGCGTCGCGTACACGAGACACGCGCGACAGCATCCATCATACGTGGAACGTGACAGCCGGGAAAGCTTGTAACCGCGAAAGAAAGACGAAACGTCAAAGCGCCGGCACGAGCGACCCGGTATCTGTTCGATTCATTCGGCTTTTCGCTTTTCTCTCCCTCTCTTCAAGTTCGGCCGTTACGTTGCTCCGATTTTCGGCTCTCGCCGTGGCTCCTCTCGTACGAGACAGCCTCGGTATCACCGTCGTCGAATCTTCCTCACTTCTCGCGTTCGTTCGCTACGAGAACTCGTGTATAAACACACTTTGGCCGAGGAACACACGCGGCTCTGCCGTCACCTACCGGCTTTTTTTCCCGCGACACTTTACGGACGCCGTGACGTTACGTCACAGTTACGAATCGCGCCGGTTCACCACGATCGAGTTGGATACGCGTCGCTGGGGATGAATGGCGAAGAAACACCGACGAGATATTAAACACTCCGCAAGGAGCGACGTTATCCCCGACCGCTAATGCGTACAGACTCTTCCGCGCGAGCGCCGAAGAGTGACTGACGTTCCCTTGCCATAACTGTGCGCGACGAGGCCCGAACTCGACCGAACGGTACCGAGCGCGCGTTCGGTGCCGGCGACGCTCTATCGTGGCCGGCGACCGCTGCGCGTCGTGGCAGCACTGCTCGGTGGCGTCGCGACGCCAACCCACGCTCCCCTTGTCTTTCCCCTAGCGTTCACCAACGATCTTTGACTCGCGTGCCATTTTCTTCCCGGGATATCCTTGGACAAAATTAGAGGGATTACGATGCTTATGGGACGGTCTTAGAAGAACCGTTTTATACCGAATCATATAAATTATATCTCCCTTTTTTTGCTCTGTTCCTCGCTGTTTTATTTAACTACCGTTTCACCTTCGTTTAATTAGTTCGACTCGAGAAAGCCTAACTTTTATTAAAATCGGTCAAACCGGTCAAGACGATACGTCTCAGAATTCTTGTTACAAATTACGCGAAGTATGTTGTTGTTCGGTACATTCATCGTTTTAAGCCGATTACGTTCGTTTACCGTCTACGATTTACACCTACACGCGTGTGGCTTAAGATCCTCGATTGTTTATGTATTTATCCCGTTTACTTTCAATTTAGAACTTTGCATGCATTCGACGCAGGTTGTTTCAGTGTTAAATAAAAGTACGTTTTGTTCTTGCAGCTCACTTTTCTTTACCACGCTCTAATAACCCATTCTCTTCGCTAGATTATAAATATTCCGAGAACCGCATGAGTAGCGATTGTTTCCTCCGCTCGCGATTCTAATCTTGTAACTCTAATTCACGTTTAAATTGGTTAACTTCGCTCGTTCGATACATCCTCCCGTTCGAAGGTCCAATAAAATCCGAACGGTTTCAGAAAAACTTCCTGCGCCATTGTTTCTTGCTCACGTATGTTTAGTCGTCTTTCACGGGCGACGTCGAGCGCGAACGAAGAATTATTTGCGAATGAATAATCGGCCGTGAGTCAACGCGTGTTCGAAGCGCGAGCGGAGAACGCGAGGAGATGGACGCGTTCTATCGCTGTACGTGATTCACGGATACAACGCGTTCGTTAAAAGCTGTTTTGTTGACGCTGGAACAGCGCTCGGGAATGTCAGATTAGATATGTAAGCGGCATTTATGGCGAATGGAATTAGAAGACCGGCTCCACTTATCAAGACCGTACCTCGTTTCCGTTCGAGCTATCGTTGTCGAGCTATCGCTCCGCTGCACCGAGAAGCTAACCGCCAGATTCGAAATGCTTCCTTCTAGTCTTTTTCTCCTGCTGTCCCTTTTTGCCACGAAATATTCTCCACCGAGAATGCGTCGAGAAATGTGCTTGCCCCCGATACGTTTCCAACGAAATCGTCGGACGTTAACGTGACAAGAAAAATAGCGGATGGATAAGTGGAAGCATAGTGCTTTCGAAGCGCATCAATATCAGTCGACCAAGATAAATAATCGTCTTGACTTTCAAATATTGCTAATATGCTCCTGATGAATTTCCGCCGTTACATCGAATCCTGACCTCACGTAACCTTTCGACTTACACATCGCCACGTTCGATTCTCACTGGGTTAAGATGCACCATAAATATGGCGGTTGTTGTTGGATCCAAGCCCAGCCCTCGAAAGCTTTCTTGTTGCGAGATACATAGGATCGTCGATTTTCGCCGTTGGCCATATTTGTTAGTCTAGAAAATACTTTGTGCGTCCAATATATCCGCTCAAAGTTCACCCGTTCCGTTAATTCCATTCTTCTCTCCGACTGTCCTTATTCTTCCGTGGCTGCATAGGGAATACGCCCGACGAATTTGTCGCGACGCCATTGCATGGACAAACGTCGATGAATTGAACGTTTCGGTTCCACGCCAGTACATTATTTCGTTGGTCGGTTGGCACCGTGTACAAGAGAATACGAAGAAAACGTAACGGTATCGCGTCCGGAAGATCTGAACCTCTCACATTGCCTATTTCCGATAATATCTTAACACAGCATCGTCGTTACGACTGTTAACCCCTTTAACGTCGTTTTGTCGGGGCCCGTATATAGTCGAGTTCGCTCGTTACGAGTATTTTCGGTCAACGGGTCTACTGTTGCTCGAAAGGTCATCTTCCAGTACAATGACCTGATCGTTAACCCTCTTTCGACCGTCTCCCGTCACCAGGGTGCAATAGCCGAGGATATCCTCAACTTCTGTATCTTCTGCCACGATATCTCCTTCGTGCTTCCCATGAAACCATTCGAAACAAGTTTATCTCCTATTTAACGTCTCGCTATCCGATTCGAGCAGCGTCTGTCCGCGCAGAGGCTGACTCGTCTCTTCTATCATTGCGCTTTAAATTGTTTAGAGGATCGCCATGCGTGATGTTGTACGATCACGCAATTTATGGCTACTGCTTTTCTCGTAGTTTCTGAACTATCGTCATTTATCCTTCTACAAAATGTCTCGCGATTGTATATCATGGCGTTATAATGTATCGCCGAAAATAATTAGAAACTCGCGTTCGCCGCTTACCATGCAAAGATTAATATTCGTCAACGTGCAATTACCCGGAGTTACGTGCAGATTTTTAGTGCTTCCACGTGCAGGTTTGAGCAGAGTGTGGTCCAAGGTGAACGGCGCTGTGCGGCGCGCGATACACGAATGATCAACGACCATTCGGGTACCGTGTCTTGCGTGTTCTCTTTGCCCGCTCACGATTTTCGCGATCGTGCTCGGAGCACCGGCAAGAAACACCGTAAGGATGACGTAACTTAGGTTGCATAATGCCACGGCAAAGGCTGCAACGAGCGCGTATAGTCGCAACTATTCGTGTCAACTGTTATTCTTCGAATGACCCTCGTTGGACAGCCTGAGCACACTCGCATCCTTGATGCTGGAATTTATGGGACGAGGACGTACGGGTGCTAGTAACGCTAACGATCTCTTTCGGCCCCAAGTCCGGTTCATCGGACAATAAAGAACGCTGCATCTTCGATGCAACCTGCCGATTCGATGGATGGCTTCGGATCGCGGCGAAGATGGTCATAAATCACGCGATCTGTGCCGCGAATCCGAAATAAATTCCCTCGACCGATTTCGAAACGGGGTAGAAAGTCCGATTACTAACGAGGACCAACGTATGTACGCGAAGGCTGTATACCGTTCGATATCATCGCTGCATATTTAGTTTCAGCTGAGTTTGACTTGATGAAACTGTCGAGAGGAATTACATTTTCCGAATTGAGCCAGGGTATGCACGCAAAAATCCTATATTTCCACATCATTTTTCCCGGAAAATTTAATTTTTCCTAACCGTTATGAAATTATATTTCCGTCGGATTTTTATTTCGCTCTTCTTCCACGCATAAATTACGTAAATTTAATTAACTCGATTGAAACTTGCATTTTATTGCGCTGGACTGTAAAGAAACGCCAATAATAATAGAGATATTTGAAAGATTGCAAATACTATCAGAAACAAGAAATAGCATTATACGTACATTTTAAAGAACATCCATGGAATTTTTACGACTTATCGAGAAAGGTTAGAGAATCAAATTTTATGGCAAGACGCAGACCGCATCAGGGAGCCAGCATTACGGAAACGACCCCTATGGCCACAATATTAGATGCCGTAAGTGGGACAAAGACACCGGTTTAAGAAACCTTTTCTTCCCCGCTGGTGGCAGTCTGTCACGGACCAATCGACCGCGCCGTCTTCAAACAGACTCGTAAAAATGCCTCGTACGAGGGTTTGAACGAAATTAAGGGAGCTCTCGATTCGCATTCCTTGGGATGATGTATGAGACACATTACGCTCGACAACTTGCAATATATCAAATTTTTTCCTGGTCCGCGAGTAACGCGTTTTTACGCAGGCGGTTACACGCGTGTACACGCAGAGAAGAGAAAGGTTTCCCGATGAAGCGGTAAAATTTATTATGAAGCCGAGTTTTGACGCGCGAACCTAGTCGAGCGAGCGAAAGAACATAATCGTTTTAATTTGGCTCGTTCGAATGGTCCATTGATCGATGGACCTTAACGTGCTTGCCTATTTGCCGTGCACTTAATGGCTTCTAAGGAAGAATCGAATTTTCGCTCTCAGCGGTTGCCGTATGTGCAAAATCGAATGGTTAACCGCGATTTCATGTCGCTTCTCGAGGGCGCACTTCCTGTCCCCGTGACTTCGTCCCGGTGGTCCATTAAAGCCTGAGGAAGCGAGCTGGTCGTCGCGAACCGCAAAATCGTGCTATCTGGGATGGTGCTTTCAGCTTCGACTATTCCTCGCACCTCGGGAAAACTTACTGGAATTAGTGGATGTCAGAGAGCGAAGGAAACGAAATCAAAAGACACGATTAATTCAATGTATTATACGAATACATCTTTCCAGTACGGCCTTTCAAATGTTTCTCTCGCGATAAAACTTCGTTTAACAATCGAGGAGAAAACTGCAGACTTTTTATTTTCGCGTAAACTTTAATCGGTTGCCATTAGATTAAGTACTTTGATAATTTTTGACGACATCACATCTTTGAAGTCGGAAGAAGTTTATGGTCGGTGGTGCATGCTCTTCTTTTTACATAGCCTCAAAGAAAATAACCCAACAGCGTTAAATTACATGATCTTGAGGGCTAATTAACGTCGCTACTTTGTGGGAAAATTCTACCTCCGAACTTCAATCATGATAAGTAAGTCATTTTATGCGGTAAACATTCATTTACAAAACCGCTTTGCAGTATTTTATCTTCTAAAAAATTTATCGGCATGTTCTTTCAAGTGGAATATCAAAATGCAATTAGCGCTTATCAACGAATGACAGTGGAACTATCGTACATTCTGTTAATACGACAGAGAACAAGTCGCGGGGAAACATTGATGTTGAAAAGTGCACACTGTTTGAATTCCAATGAATTATTTTAAATATCTAATAGCATCGTTTACCTGAATCATCGAACGTTTATACCTCGAGTTTACATAAGCGTACGTGGAAACGTCGCTTTTGTGGCATTTAAAAATTTCGAACGTGCAAACGAAGCGCGACGCTATTTAAAGCATTCTGAAACAGCGGTGATTAGCTGTTAGATGCAACATCGAATTCCGTGGCACGAAGTGCCGCTTTAATAATTAAAAACATAATCTAGTTTAATTGCCATAATAAGCCTTGCGCCGTGAAATTCCCTTTATGCATAACGAAGCGACCTGTCCTTTGCATAACCCCCGACAAATTTCCTATCTCGACGGTCCCCACTTTTTAGGGGTCGAGATTTCGCCGCCACAAAAAACCACCCTTCCGTAATCCCTGCCACCTGATAACCTGGCGCAGGTTAAAGTCGAATTAAAATCACTGACGTGAAATCACTCGTGCCGGAATTTATATCCCCTACCAGTCCCGAACACTTCTAGACCTATGAGACCTGTCTCCATTAAAATCAGATAACATTTGTCACCGAGGGTCTACTACGTATACGATATCGTGGTCCTTCTCTAGAATATCCTCGAGGCCCGTGACATTCTCGAGGGATTAACGTCGACAAGGTCGAACGAAAAATAGAAAAGACCTTCCAAAATGTGAATGAATAAAATAACCCTGCGAAACGTGTCATAAGATGCGAGTCCTTTTAGCCCTTACACCTTTCTGACAGAGGTTCATGCATTTTTTTTCTGACACCGAAATTCTGTAATTTTAATTAAGTATTTGATACCCATTTAGAATATATTATAAGCATAAGTTGTTCCGCTGTAAGGTTTGGTATTGCAAGGGTTGAACAATCATGAATTTGCAACGTATTAAAGGTTTACTTCGGTCGGAAACCTGTTTATTCGGTTCGAATATTAAGGCCCGATAATAAATGCAACTTTACGACTACTTTGGATTACAGTGGTCGGTTAAGTAAACTAGGGGTGTCCATTTTTGTGCGTGCTAATACGAAGATATGGACTGGGTGCAATATATCAACGATATTCCTGGCCTCGAACCT